GAAAACGATATGCCTTACTATTTGTTGCATATCCTATAAAACCGCAATCAACAATTTCCGGTCCGATCTTTACCTTTTTTGGGTTTAGGAACTTGCACTTTAGCTAAGTCCCCCCACACTTTAAAATATTTAAGTTGGGCTTCCTTCCATTCCATTTTTCATATGGAATGAATTGTGTCTTGCTATGTGGAACTCGACTGATTATACGGTTATCTGAGAGAATAACTTTCCCCCCACAAGTTCTGGGTAAACCAAAACTTATTAACAAGGCATTCATCATCTCCTTTAACGTCCTATTCTTTCTTTCTGCAATTTCATTAAATTGCGGTGACTAAGGACCTGTCGTTTGATGAATAATACCATATTCCAAACATATTTTTTCAAAAGCAGATTCACATTCACCGCCCCTTTTACTTTGTAGAGCCAACTACAAGAACCGTTGTTTGTGTAGCCAGAATTAATAAATAGTGAAGTTTTTAATCTTCAAACCAATCTGACACATTCAGAATTAATAATCGGTGAATTTTTTAATCTTCAAACCGAGTAACATCTGATACAACTAGATCTAATAAGCGGTGAAGTTTTTAATCTTCAAATGGAGTAACATCTGATACAACTAGATCTAATAAACGGTGAAGTTTTTAATCTTCAAACCTTGTAATTTGTGACACAGTCAAATTTAATAGACGATGAAGTTTTTAATCTTCAAATCGAATAATAAATTAGAGTAGAAAATCACTAAGATTTTAATCTCCAAAACGAGTATAAAGTTACTTAGACTTTAATTTCCGACAAATGAGTAGAAAGTTGCGAAGACTTTAATCTCAACGAATGAGCATGCAGATTTTGATCTCGAAGCAGGAGTAGAAAATCACGAAGATTTTATTCTTCATAACGTGTATAGAAAATTACGAGAATCTTAATTCCCTTTCCAAATGGTTTTCCAACTAAACCATTATAACACTTTAACCAGTTTGATTCTTTAATCAAACGCATATATGTTCATCTTTACGTATATTATATTCATGAACTCAAGAATACTTCAAGTATTAACGTAAGCTTACATGAACGCGATGGCCAATTCAAATCCCAGTTACTTTCCTCAAGGCTTTCCATACACATAGACACACGAGCGTAGTTAGTAGCGTTCTTCCTTCAGAGTTATAAGAAGTGTGTTTTTTTTTTTTCTCCCTATGGCTAGGACACATTAGATCATGCATACTATTGGATGCCATATATATCAGAAGCAAAATTCTTCTTCCTTGTTACATGGCTTTTCTAGAGCAAATCACAGCCAACACCATTGATACAATGATTAGAAGAGATGTTTCAAAATTGAAGAAATCGGGAAATCAGTATAAAGATTAACTTCAATGAATAAAATATTCATAGCCTCTAATGCATTACTAAAACAACCAACGTAAATATGAGAATGCAACTTCAATGAATTATTCCTCTTGACTTCATTTCTGTTGAATAAATATGTATTTTACTTAACATTTTCGGTGCATGACATTACCATGATATTAATATAAAATTACCATTATATTAATACATGCACTAGTTCTTAAAATACCAAAATAAAAAACCAATGAACAAGTGCAAAATTTATGAAATTCAAATTCTTCCACATAACTCAAAATACCAAAGAATTTGGAACTTATCTGGACTTGGTTTATTCATTTGGTTTCCTTCTGCCCATTAATTACCAAGATATGTATTTTGGTTCGTTGATTACCATCTACCAATAATGCAGTAAGTAGCCTTTGCCTTCTCTAAGACCACACTTACAGAATATCTCTCGTAGAACGTTGGATTCAGATTTAACAGCCGCCATACCTACTCATGATTGATGAAGTTAAACTTCTCTGCAATGTAACGGCCTGACCACAGTGACCAACAGTTGCACCGTTTTATATCCCAGTACAAAACAATTTCCGCTCCAATTTTCCTCTCCATCAGCCATTTGCCAAGAACACATAAAGATAACTTAAATTCCTTAAAGATTGTTGGTAATACTGTGTTCAAAATCAGAAAAGTAAACAAACGTTAGTTCAATAAACAAAACGTAAAATAATTTCGAGCCCACTGAATGCACAGTGTGTCCTTAAGGAATTTAATCCCCTCACTGTTGCCCAAGGTATACGGATTAATTCCTCCCAGGATAGAACGGAATAACTATTCTGTGATAGCGTCACTTCAAATCACAGAACTTCAGCGAACTCAACAAACGGAGCAAATCACACTTGACACTTATGTTTATTTAGAAAATAATGCAACAATGTAGAAAAGAGGGGAGAAGATTTCAGATTTTCCATGTCTGATTTCATGTTTTAAAAATGAGGCCAAGCCTCTAAATTTATAGACAAAGGAAGGGTGATATGGAGAGGTACAATCTAAAAGGTGCATCTTCCATTTCCCATTCACACACCTTAATAAAAACGCAAACGCAACAGGTAGAGCCTAACCGCACACCTCGAAGGCCTGAACAAGAAGCAACAATAGCCGCAGCAGGATGAAGTCTATTATTAAGTTTGTCAAAACTAGTAACCTTTAAATATTTTTTTTAAAAATAAGTATATTTTAACTAGGCATGTTACAACCAGCTATTAGGTGTCATTTTCGACGTTTTCCTAACCTTAAAACAGTTTAATAATATTGGATCAGGGTTTGGTGTCATTTTTTACCTTTTTTAACCTTAAAACAATTTAACGTTGTTGGATCAAAGTTTGATTTTCTTAGCCCTGAAGTAATTTAGGGGTAAATTTTAAAAATAGTCAGATTTACAACTGGTCATTCAAAAATAGCCCAATTTTAAAAGTAATCGAAATTTAGTCACTTTTTATATAAAGATAAATCTGAGCGAAAACACTGTTCAAAACCCGGAAAATACTCCAGTATATTATGCTGGAGTTCCAGCATAAGTATACTTGAACTCCAGCATATTATACTGGAGTTCCAGAATAAGTATGCTGGAATTCCAGCATAATATGATGGAGTTCCAGCATAAGTACACTAGAACTCCAGCATAATATACTGGAGTTCCAGCAAGTATATTGGTCCAGTATAATATACTGGAGTTTGGAGCACCGGTGCTCCAGTCTCTAGTATATTATACTGGAGCCAGCAAAGTATACCGGTCCAGCATAATATGCTGGAGTTCATACACAAGTGCACCAAACTCCAGTATATTATGCTGGACCGGTCTCTATTGCAGCAAAATAGTGGCTATTTTTCATTGACTTGGTAAACGCTGGCTATTTTTGATTGATCAGTCCGAAAACTAGCTATACCGTGCTATTTTTACGTAATTTAGCCACCACTCCATTACAACCCGGCCCATTAAACAACATAAAATAACTCAATCTTCAACTAATTGCACCTGATAGCCCATATTGGCTCTTTAACCTAAAAATTGTAATACGTAAACATCACAAAGTGGCTTTTTGATATTTATCTATTCTCTTTTTCTACTAAAGTTTTTATTCGAATTTCTTTCTTTCTCTCCCTGCACTCCTTATCTCAGTATACATGTCCTACAGATCCATCTTCAGTGTTATCTCTTCTCCTTCAGAGATTTGGTCGATGCATCTGCTTTTGATATTTTCTGTTCTCTTTTTCTATTAACGTTTTTATTCGAATTTCTTTCATTTTCTCTCACCAAACTCTTTATCTCAGTATACACGTCCTATAGATTCTTCTTTTTCTTTTGAATTTCTCATTGATTTTTGGAAATCACTATTAATAGTGATATGCATAGAGGAAGCGTAACGGTGATATACATGGGTATACACTATTATAAACATGATTACACATATGTTGCTTAATACAAGTGTAACAATGATAAAAACATGGATATACTGTTATGCATGGGGATATACATGTGTTATCTTTTACAAATAGTGATATACATGGATATACACTATTATACATGGAAGCATACTTGGTGTATATATTTTATCTTTTACAAGCATAATTACTATATACATGAATATACAAGTAATATGCATGGGGATATATATGCTGCTGGCATGGAATCGTGAACTCATGAGATTGAATATTTGGTGAATGTGTATGATTTTTTTGGATGAAATGAAACGTCTATAACATTTTATTCATTTTTATGTGAAACCAACTTCTATTGATTCACAAATGATTCACCCTCTTCGATTTCTTTAGGAGACAAATTGCGTTTATAAGTGAAGTTGGATCTGGATTTTTCTTTTCTAAGGTGTGTTTAAGGTATATATCATCAAAGACAGAAAATCAATACTGTTTGGAACTTCACTTGTAGAGCTCATGGAAGGGGACACGTGAAGTTGGATCTTAGTTTAGAAAGGGATAATATTTTTCCTATTTTTTAGTTCGCTTGATGAGATTTGACTATCCACTACCTTTTTTTTTAGCTTTAAAACGATAAACCTAATCTTTGGCTAAAACCCTACCAATTGTTATTAGGAGGGGTATACACGTGTCAATTTTCCTTAATCCTATTGGAGAAAAATTTGACTTTCTTAACCTTGAATTAGTTTAACTACATTAGACCAAATTTGGTTTTCTCGACCATGAAGTAATTTTACTACACTTGAATAAAGTTTTAACTTTCTTAACCTTACAGTATTCTAATTACATAAGAACAGAGTTTAGCTTTCCTATTACCAATCTATATTCTCCAAAAGACACATTTTTGTACCCCTCATACTCCAAGTGAACAAATTTTCTATATGAGAGAATCATGGCGGAAATTTTTTGTTCCCGCATAATTTAAGTACCTTTTTCTTTCAACACATTACTTCAATGATATTTAAAGCATATTCAAGGTCTAGCATAGTTTTATCTTTTTGCTAAAAAAAATATCCCATATGACCTGTATATTCCCCAAATAAACATTCAATAATTTAAAAACATCAGCGAATAACATCCTTCCCAATCAAGAACAACTGCACACTTACCATTCCAAAACAGAAACATTTTTTAATATACTTCTCTCACATCTGTTATCAATTCAAAACTGTTTCTTTCATAGAATTAAAGCTTACAGAGAAACTTAAGGATTTCAAAAACAAAATTATGTAAGAAACAAGAACATATTTGGTTCATTGTTGACATACTTACATAACTGAGATTGTGTGCTTCTTGCTTCTGTTGTATTATAACACTTACGAAATTATCTCCAGACTTCAGTTCGTCCGATTTTCATTCAAAAACATTGTTCTTTAATAAGCTCTTTTCGCGAGCCTTTAAAGTCAATAAATCTCCTGGACGTACAGAAATCATTGATATATGCAAGACTAATTCATAGAAGTTACATACACCAAATAAAGAATTGGAGCACAAAAACATAATACATTGAAATATTATGATCTAGCTATGTTATCCAGGTTCTAGCGAATGATTTTCACTGAGTTAGTTCCTTCTGCCCCGATCACGCTCACGCTCACGCTCATGAGCTCGAGTACCATCACCATCTAATCCTCGCTTTCCTCTATCTTGCTCTTCCCCGCTTCCTCTATTCTGAGAATCTTGTTGCCTCTTTTCATAGCCCCTCTCATTCCTATTGTCTCTGTACCTAACTTCATCTGCATGACCACCACCATATTCCACCTCATCTTTGTGATCCCTCTTTTCCCTCTCCCTCCGATTCCCCTTATCTCCATGCCTCACTTTATCCGCATGTCTCTTATCATGGTCAGGTCTCTCTCTCCCAGCTTTGTGGTTATCATAATCAGTGTTTCTTCTATAATCCAGATCGTTTCGACCCCTATAATCTCTCTCTTTCTCAACACTTGCTCTCGTCCCACTTCCACGAAACCTCTCTTCAGTTCTGTAATCTTTACTTCTCTCCTCCTGCCTATGGCGTTCATATCCATCTCTTTTTCTATCCTTCCGGACTCCATCATCATCCAATACCCTATGTTTAGGATTGTGATTTTCATGATGTTTCCCATCTTCATAATATCTTCCTCTCTTATTTCCTTTAGGACTTCCAACAGCATCTTCGTCAAATACCATTTCATACCTTGATTTAAATGTTTACAAAAGTTAAAAAAGGAAGCTTTAGAGAGAGATAAACAGGAGGAATGAGGTGTGGGTCACTAATTCCTACTAACCTTGAGTTACCATCTCCGCCACGCTGCTTGTTGTCTTCTTTAAGTACGTAGTTCGACTGCTGTTTGGTGGCATCACCAGTGCAGTCTTTAGCCACGTGATCAAGAGAACCACATTTGAAGCAACCTCTTCCTGAAATAAATAAATGCTATCGATCAGCTTTAATTGGCAGGGGGGCCTGCAACAATGTTGCTTGCTATCCAATGTCCCAAAAGTGCAGATACATATAAGAAAGGTATTTTGGAACTACTTTCAAATGAAAGTTATCATAGAAAGATATCAATAAGCAAGCTCACAGAGGGATACTTTACTTGAGATTGTGGTTAAAATATTGCTGGCAAGCTCACGAAGGGATACTTTAGGCTGGAAACAGCAGGGATGGAAACTTTTCAGTGAAATCTTGTTGTTAGACTCTGATGATGAACGTGGCTGGGGATGGTGCTATATGGCCCTGGAAAATGATGTGGATACAAAATAGCTTTCTTTGGATGGGTTGTAGCAGACAAAGCTTGTCTAACGCAGGAAATTTTTTTTTTTTTTTTGAAATTGGTAACATTTGTATTAGATATAAACATGACTACACTAAATCAGTGTAGTCATCCATAATTACAAAAGGGAGTACAAAGAGAGACAACCTAAGTCTCTATAAAGATCATAAGAGGTCTAAAACATCAAAATAACTTCTACTCTCTTCTAAGCACTCCTGTTTACACCACAAATAAAAGAGCATAAGGCAGCTCATCTTCAACTTTTGTATTGAACTATGTGTATCTTCAAAACATCTTTGGTTCCTTTCTTTCCAAATTGTCCACCATATACATGCAGAGACAATCTTCCATCTCTCCTTCTGGCCAGACTGCAATCCATCTCTCTTCCAACTTGTTAGGACTTCCCTGATTCTCCCTGGCATAACCCATTTAATTCCCCTCAGGTTGATGAATATCTTCCAAATTTGATCTGTGACACTGCAGTGCAAAAAAAGATGGTTGATTGTCTCCTCCTGAGCTTTACATAAGTAACATCTGGACCCCAACTGATATCCTCTCTTAGTGAGATTATCTTGGGTTAGGACAACTTCTCTTGCTAGGAGCCAGACAAAGCATGCCACTTTGTAAGGTATTTTAACTTTCCAGATCATTTTCCAAGGCCAACAACCAATCTGGTTATTTGAATGGTTGTACTCCTTGTAAGCTGATCTAACAGAGAAAATTCCTTCTTTCCCCCCCTTGCCCAGAACCAGTCCCTATCTTCTATTGTTGGTGGTCCCTCTAAACTGT